TTCCTGCCTCCATTTAAAAAAAAAAAAAAATGCAATCATGCATGCTGCTGCCACCTAGTGGCAATATTTCTAACTTAGAAAAATAGGTTTTAGAAATCTTGAAAGGAAGCTTTTGTGTGACTTCAAAATTCAAATTAGAAAGTGAGCAAAGTACAGAGCATCCGCAGGTCACTTTCCTAGGAAGATACAACTGGTACCTGCTCATAAGCCATGCCCCTGTCAGCCTGCACCTTGCCCCCTTCCTACCCATGTTAGACAGCCAAACTATCTGCTTGCCAGCAGTTCCTAAGACTTCTCCCACAACACATCTGTGTATCTGGCTTCTTATCAACCCACACACTCCAGGTGCACTCTATTACTGCACTTCAAAAATCTTTGCAGAATGATATTAGTACCTAAGCTGTCTGCTTTCTCACACAAGTAAAACAATGTCTGCAAAGCACAGTGTGATCTCTTGAGTTCTCTCAGATAATCATTTGAATGATTGTCTTGTCTCTCTCACTGGTGTTAAAGTCTTGTAGGAACCTGATTCCTGACATACCACCTACTGCCCATAGCACAGTGGCTTCCACTCAAAAAAATCACTCAGAATTTTCCATCAAAGAGGGGAACATTACACAGGTTTCTGTCCCCTGTTAGGCAAAGGTTGCACATCACCTTCTCTCCATGGCATTGGAAGCTTTGGTATATTGCTTATCTAAGTATTTGTTACCACTGAGTCCTTTGGTTATTATATGGTGCCATTTTTGAGGGCTTGCAAACTGAGATGTGTGAGGAAGATGCAAGGGTGAGACTTTTATTTTGCCATCAATGAACTGACTGTACGATCGTGAAATCATGAAATTTAGCCCATTCAGAGTGGACATTTCAAGACTGATTCTAGGACTTCACGTACAATGTAACTCTTCAGTTGTTAATTCATAATCATGTACAATTACTAGGGTACAGTTATAAGTATATAAGTTAATGGAGTACTTACAAACCACAGATACTGGGCAGGGGGAAGTAAGGTCTGGAAAGGCTATAACTTTAGAACTCACTGTTATTCTGCCCTCTTTTGATGTGTTGTATCATCCTACATGCAGAGATCAATACAATCCCTTCTCCAAAGTCACAATCTCCACTCTCCAGAGATTATAGTTTTCTTTCTAAAGACATTAATGAAAAAATTAGAAGTAGGTGGAAGCTATACTGCAGTGAAAAATTAAGGGTGAGCATCAAAGAAAATCAACAGAAAATAGTCCCTTATTCCCACAAAGGAGGTCCCCAATTGATGGTAGTTAAGACTAGGGACATGAGTATGTCACCTGCATACATTTCCAATAAACTCCCAGCTAATTTTTGGAGTAAAATTTTCCCAACTTGAAGACCTGCTCTAAATTCAGGAGCCAAACTTACTGAATTTGAATTGCTGCTTGCTGCATCCCAAAGAAAGCTTTTCTCAGGGTCCATGTTGTGCTAGGCACTGAGCCAGATCCAGGGAAGGCATGGGGCAGAACTGTACTCTGGAGGACAGAATGCTCCATCAAGATTCTAGAGACAGGGCTACTTCCCTGGTAGTCCAGTGGCTAAGATTCCCTGCTCCTGATGCAGGGTGCCCAGGTTCAATCCTTGATCAGAGAACTGGATCCCACACACCACAACTAAGTTCACATGCCACAACTGAAGATTCCGCCTGCCATAACTGAGACCCGACACAGCCAAATAAATAAATATTTTTTTAAATAAAAGACTTTAGAGATGGGGGTCTAAGTTCAGCTCTAACATTCTAAGTATTCCTTCTCACTGTTAACTTAGCCTCTACCCTCAAGAAATGTCAAAAAATAAATCCATACCTCCAGCTGTTAAGTCAGAGAGGGCAAAATACCAGGTGATTTGCACACTGCAGTTCAACAAGCCTACACAATAATACCAAGAGTTATAATGGATTTTGTCAGCTCCAGCAGCCTTTCTTAGGAATTCATTCTTCTTTTACTTCCATTTCCTTCTAGAGAGGCAAACTGTGTGTTCCCTCCCCCACTTCTGGTTTCAGTGTGGTTTCAGGTTCTAGACCCAGTTTTGGAGCCTCATTCCCCTCATCAGAAACAATGTCTGATACCAGGATTAGCACCTGACCCTCATGAGGCCACCGGAGTGTGTCTTGAGATTGACTTGGAGTTATCAAGTATTCTTTACACTGGGAAGATATTGTTTTGAGAATTGCATCAGCAATTGATCAGATGAAGAAGACTATTTGCAAAATAAAAGCAAGCAGGTACACTGGGGTAAAACAGAAAATGAACGTTGTTTCCTCAGGCTCTGACTTCTCAGTCTGACAATTATTAGCATCTTACTTTAAATTTTGATTCTTTCATAAATTTCTATCCCTGCTATGCAATTTCCCAAGGACTGTGTACCACCCCAAAACTCTTTGAGGTGGATGTAGTAATGGAAAGGACTTTGTAGACATTTTCCAGGAAGTTAATATGTGGTTTCTAAACAAAAAAGAAGGGTTTGCACGGATATGTGAATGGCCAAAAGGGCAAATGTATGGCAAAGACAGCTATTTACCCCCAATATCTGTCCTTACTGCTATATATTTCATAAGTATAAAAATCCTAATAGTTACCTCAGCTAAAACCAAAATTTCTCAGGTTTCATGTCAGAGTGAGTTCACTTTCAGAATAAATTCACAGTAAAACACGTGGCTTCAACACGGAAGTCTCCTCTCCCCTCTGCCTGTAACCAGTACAGGTAAACCTTGACTATCCACTGATCTATGTTGTCAGATAGATGATGAAGCTGGAAGTCCCAACCAATTTATAGCTAAAAGATAGGTACCAGGAAGCTTATAAGTTAGAATCATTTTAAACACATAGATAAGTATAAACTTCCAGGCACATTTTCTTTAAACAAGGCACATGCAGAAAAGGGGACAGAAAAAAAAATCACGAAGATTCATCAGAAATATTTATCGTCCATACAGGAGCTAGTGGGGAAAATCTTCACCTCTTTTCTACTCTAAGAATGTCCAATTAAATATATAATGCCTAACCTTTAAGGAGGTGAGGGTAGGGTTTATACAAGTAGGAGAAAAAAATCTGACAATTCAGTGTCCAGAATGAAATGTAACCCATCTCTATTCCATCAGACCTTACTGCAAACATGGAACCCTTTCATCCAACTGCCCTATCAAAGTACATGCATGCATGCACACACACACATACACACAAACACAAACATCCAATTTTAGATGTTTTAGCTTTTCTTAAACAAAGTAATATTGAATTTGTTATTGCAGCAATATCCTCCAATTTATTTATGCCTCTATATATCCACTTGGATAATTCCCTACCATTCTACCTCTGGGCTTGGGCATTTGACTTGCTTTGGCCAATGGAACAATAGTAAATATGCTTCAAGAAGAGAGTTAAAAATTAATTGCCTGTTGGAGCTTTCTCTCTTGCTCTCTAGTAACAATGAGACCACAATCTTATAAACTAGCCGGTTGAAGAATGGGAGGTCTTGTAAAAAGAGACCTCAGTCAGCCCAGCTGAGGCCACGATAAACCAGCCCAGCCCACCCCAACCCACTAGCTAACTGTAGATACCTAAGTCATTCCCACCAGGACCAGCTAAGACCAGTTCAGAACATACAAACCACCTAGTTCTTCAATTTTTTAAAAAATGAATTCTTCAAAAAAAACAAAAACACCTAAACACAGTCTAAATTACTAACCTCTAGAATTATGAGCTAAATAAATATAATAGCTGCTTTGTAAGATACTAAGTTTTGCAGTTGGTTTGTTTTGCAGCATAACTGATTTGTGATATATGCTGTGGCAAATGGTCCTAGGGCCATGTGTCCACACATGTGTGGGCATATTTTAACGAGACCTTTAAAGTCTAGGAGGTGTACTTCCAAAATAAAAGGTAACACTGGTGGCAGATCTGACACTCAGTAGCATCATTGTTTCCCAGAAGGGGAGGGCAGGAAATTGATCCTGTGTCTATACTGACTTAGGAGGGTCAATCATGCCCAGAAAAACACTCCATAGGCGGACAACAGTGTGGAGAACAGGAACTAGGGTTTGTGGAGGAGACCCAGGAGGAGTATGCAGGTAACTTAAAATATATCTGCATCTTCCCTCCACCTCCTCTTTTCTTTCTTTTTTTTTTTTTTTTGGCCTTGCATGTGGGATCTTAGTTTCCCAACCAGGGATCAAACCTATGTCACCTGCACTGGAAGGCAGATTCTTAACCACTGGACCACAAGGGAAGTCCCCCCTCCACTACTTCTTGTGGAGAGAATAGGTGAAGGTGTTTTATCAGAGATAACTAAGACATCCAAAGTAGGGAATATAACTGGAAGAGACCACTCCCTCCTCCTTTTCTCAGCACCCTTCAGCAATAGGGAAAACTTCTCTAGAGGACATTTTGGCTCTGACCATCAGTGGAGTCAGCAGTGTTCACTGCAGAGACAGAAGCGCATAATCAACATGAAAATATCAGGGTGGGACAGACACAGATTCCCTCCTTCCAAAAATTACAGGAGGGGAAAATGACCTTGAAAGAAAGAAACTGACAATTCACGACCATGGGTCATTTCAAGAAAAGAACTTCAGAGAACTCAGACGGCTTCTTATGTTTTCAGTTTATTCAAGAGAGAAGAGATTAACTCACTATGACATGGGGCCTGTTTACCCCAAGCATGATGCATGAATGGCTGGGCATAGGCAGCTTCTGTCAGGGGACCAAGAAGAAAAGATAAGGGCTTCCCCAAGCTTCTGCCAACAACAGACTTTGGGACCCTTAATTCACAGCAGAGTTTTCCAAGTTTCTTTACAGAAAGGACTCATTAGAAGGGTTATCAAGTCGTCCAAAGAATGAGTCCATCAGTGGGAACAAAGGGGTTGTCAAAAGCAAGAGGAGTGTATCCTGGGGCCAGAGAGCAGCATCCACTTTTCAGCTTCTGTCTGCAGACCAAAGTAACCCACCAGGGCTCAGGGTCTACCTCAGAGGTCAAAGTGACCTCTCCAGAGTCTCAGCCTGCGCACCAGGGGTGACTGTCATCTTTCCGGAGGGGGTGGTCACCTTCTCAGGGACTCCAGCCTTCCTTCCTGGGGGCGTGACCACCTGTCCAGTCTGACGGTGCACGGGACCCACAGCTATCCCTCCAGGGCTCACCGCCAGATGGCCCACAGGGAGCACAGGCTTCTCTCCAGGGCTCTCAGTCTTCCCTTCTGGAGCAGCAGTGAGCCTTCCAAAGGTCAGAGGGGTCCTTGTAGGGGTTGCAAGCCAACCTCTGGGGGTTATGGTCATAGTTGCAGACTTTCTATGAGTCTCAGTGGCCACAGCCTCTCCTCCCGGGGGCAAAATGCCCAAACCAGTGATCAAATCCCTCGTCATAGTTGGCATTTCAGGGCCAATTCTTGAAGAATTCACAGCAGTTGAGAACCAAAATTTTGGTGAAGGAGTTGAGCTGAACTCTAGAAGAAATCAACAGAAAAGGGTGAGACTCCTACATCTTCCTTCCCATCCTGTCACTGGCAGAACTGGAGCTGCTTCAGGGCTGAAGTACCAACTCCCAAACCAGAACCAGAGGATTTCCAAATGCAATCCACTTGTTGACACAGATAAAGTCTCCGCACGCAGAAGCCTGGCTCCCCTACTTCAATATATCAACATGATACCAGGCAGCCGTGGACACTCAGTGGGGTTTGCCACATTTCTGGTTGAGGGACCCCAAGCAGAAGTCTGCCAGTTCTCTAAGCTTAAGCCTTTGCTTTGACCTTTGCACCTTTTCAAGACCTTACCCCAAAGCCTATTCCTAACCTGTGGAATCCACAGGAAGAATCCTTTCGTGTCCCCCTTTCGGGAAGCACAAAGTCCAGGCTGAGTGCAAGGAGGTTGCCCTAGAAACCATGTTGTGAAGAATTAAGTTGGAGTTTCATTTCCACTCCTGACTAGCTGTTTTATCTTTCTGAACCCTGGTTTCCTCACAAAATGAGGGTTATAGACCGTCTCCAAGGAGACGGCAGCTCCAAGGCAGCTCTAGCATGCCAGGTTCCATCTCTGAACTGCCAGGGAAGTCTCTACTATCAAAGAAATATCAAAAAGAAACTTAATTTCTTTTTCTGGTGTTTGTTGCATGAAAGCAAGGAAAAGAAATACAGAGATAAACTGATATGTATTGAGTGTTCACCATAAGCCAGCATGCTTTCATTTCACATCTCATTTAGCTTGTATAATACTGTCATGAGTATAAGGATTATTTCCAATTTTTAGATGGGAAGAAAAAAGATTAGAGAGATCAAATGGAGCATGCATCCAAACCAAGATTAGAAAGCAGACTGGCCTGGCCATCAAAGCTTATTCTCTTCCTTCACTGTCATTTTGCCACAACAAAGCCTTTAAATCTTACAGAAGGGACCCACCCAGTGGCTGCTTGTGCAATTGCCAACCCCAGCTTCCAAGTCATAGCTACTCACCATCACTCACCAGGAGATTATTCAACGTGTGGACAAGGGGGAAAGGGCCAGTGCCGCAGAAATTGCCCCTGACGTCATCCAGGTCCAATGTCCACACCATGGCCCCCCCAAAATTCTCTCTCTTTATGAAAACTGCCTGAAAAAAAAAGGAGTGGTCAGTGAACCTGCTGTTCTAACCATCCTCCAGACAGTACAATGGTAAAATCAGATGGACTCTCAGAAGGCAATATAGCAGGATGGTTAGCCACATAGCCTGTCTTTGAATCTAGCGCTATTGCTTATTAGCTATGGCATCTTGAAAAAAAGTTACATAAATTTTATGTGTCTTTGTTTCTTCCTGTGTAAAAAAAAAATGGATAATAACATTTCCAACATTTTTAGGATCCAACCAATTCCTACATGCACATGTTACAACATGGATGGAAGTGAAAGACATCATGCTAAGTGAAATAAGCCAGTTACAAAAGAACAAATACTAAGATTCCACTCATAGAGGCTCTTAGAGTAGTCAAATCCATAGAGATGGAAGGTAGAGTGGTGATTAAGAAGAGGTGTGTGAGACAAGAATGAGGAGCTATTTAATGTGTGTGGAGTTTCAGTTTGGGAAGACAAGAAAGTTCTGGAGAGGGATAAGTGTGATAGTTATACAGCAATGTCAATGTACTTAATGCTATTGAACTGTAACAAAAAATAAGTAAAATGGTGACTTTTATGTTATGCATATTTTGCCACAACTTGAAAAAGAATTTTTTTAATTCCCACATGTAAAATATTTGGAGCAATACTTTGCACATAGTAAATGTTCATAAATGTTAAGTACTGTCTGACTTCCCAAACTGCTAATTACCATTATCATCATACTAAACAGTAGACATTGCTTTATATTTTTTTAAAATCACCTCAACATACCTCATGCCAAAATGATGCTATAAAGGAGGAATAGAACAGATAATATCATATCCTTTTCACAGATAAATAACAGTCTTTTTTCCATGATTTTTTAAATCACAGATATAACTAAAAGGCAGAGTTTAGACCCCAAATCAGGTTTTATCATTACTTTGCCAGCACTCTCTGTGCTGGCGGAAAAAGCAGACTCATATGCAAACAGCTGTATGACTTGGTAATGACTTGGTCAAACAGTTGGCTCCTTTCTGAGATTTAATTTCCCCAAATGTAAAATAAGACAGCAAAGCCTAATTATTAAATTTGAAACTGTGAAGATTCTGAGATTTTGTCCTACTTCTAAGCTAAACTGGGCCTCCCACATGCCACTAGTGGTAAAGAACCTGCCTGCCAATGCAGGAGACGTAAGAGACTTGGGTTTGATCCCTGGGTCAGGAAGATCCCCCTGGAGGAAGAAATGGCAGCCCGCTCCAGTATTCTTGCCTGGAGAATCCCATGGATAGAGGAGCCTGGCGGGCTACAGTTCATAAGGCCGCAAAGAATCGGACATGATTGAAGCAACTTAGCATGCACGCATAGGCTAAATTAACCTGTCTGTTTTATATGTACATACACGCACACACCAGATCTCCAGATCAAAAAAGTGACCATTTCTACTCATGGTAAAAAGTCAGATTAGCACCTGGAGTTTGCTCTCCACTCCCCAATTATCCTGTGGTTGTGAAGGCAACCAGATATTCACCTGCATGTGCAGCAGAGTCTGCACCACAGGAGAAGAATCCCACAGTTACGAGTCTCAAGCTGACATAGGAAGCAGGCACATCTTGCCCTCCTCCCCTCTTGAGAGACCAAGAGTTTGGCTCTGGAAAGTAAACAAGGCCTCTCCAGGAAGGAGATTTTACAATCCACGCAGGTAAGGAGATGACTCTGGGGGAGAGGAGGAGGAAACTTTCTGTTTAATTATAGCTGGTCTGTTTGCTTTACTCGGAGTGCCTGGACAGTGCTGGAACACTGAGAGATCCAGGGATTACTGCTTCCCAGTGATTACCTGCAAGGTTTCTTTCAGCTCTGAGATTCTGTGATGAGAGCTCTTAATTATGCTCACACTGGGCTCACATCCACCTCTAGCTTGGTAAAGCTCTATAACTGCCCCTCAAAGCAAGGCCACCCTGCACTGCTGGCTTCTGGCTTTCCCCAGCAGTGGGGTCCAATCCCCTCTTCTGTGTCCTATGGATCATATATTGAATTATACCCAACTGGATAATTCCAGGGTCACTGACCTTTTTTGTGTCTTCTGTTTCCAAACCACAGAGTAAGATCCTGGAAGCTGAAAGTCATGCTCTCTACCTCTCCCCACAGCAGGTCTCACCCAGAACTAGAGGAAGTCACAGTGACTCTACATGATAACTGCCATATTATCTCTGCTTTATACCACAAATGTTCCCCAAAGAACAACCAACACCAGTCACTTCTGCATCACTTATGAGAGGAGACACTGTGACATCCCTCCACTTATAAGCCCCGACATCCAGGCAGTGACAGGCTTCTGACAACTGCTCATCATCAGTGGCCTCTCCTCCCAAACTTCCTAGTCCAGACCCTTATCATCTCAGATGTGCACACCCGAAGTGCCACACAGATTCAGTAGGATCACAAAGGGATATACTGCAAGCAGTTTCCAGATTCTTTCTAAGACCTGATGAATATTCAGGGTTGGAACTAAGAATTTCTACATCTATTAACTCTACATCTAATCTAGGTGATTCCAAGCAGAGGCAGGTTAGGGAAACACTGGAACACGTCTTTTCTGTTTTAATTCACTATATAAAAAAAAAAAACTTTCCAGGTTCAACATCATAGACCACTGTTGATACGGGGTGCAGTGGTGGTCACAATTACTAAAGTCTAAAGATTTCAAACTCACAAATCATATACCTGGCTCAGAAACCTTATTTTGCCTGAAAATGCACACAGGATGAAGGCCAAACACCTTCATCAGCATTCAAGTGTCTCCATAAATCCTCCTTTTTAAAATAAGGCGATTGGGGTAGGTTTGATTAGGAAGCTCCAGTTAGATCAGGTATGCCTAAAACTCATCTAATATAGTCATTCTCACCTTCATTCTCCACGCAGTACACACACACCTACACACACACACACACACACACACACACACACAGAGTACAGACAAGGGCCTCACGGAAGCCAGAGGAAAACTACACTGGAGCAAGAAAGGACCAAGATCTTACCTTGTAACTGAAGCTCATGGCATCATCATAGCCAACCCACTCCTTCCCCTTGAAGGCATATGGGACATACTGATCATCAATCCAGCGCTTCTTCGCTCTCCGGACAAAGGAGCAAATCTGCCAGGAAGATCACCAGAGTAGTTCTGTGAAGTGCCATGGAGGGAAGCACCAGCAAGGAAAAAGAACCCAAGAATCCCTCACCAGGGGGTGAGAGGAAGGCAGACCAAAGAGGGGGTGTGGAAGCCACTCACAAAGGACCTCCTCTCTATTCCAAAAAAATCCTTACTACTGCACATTCCTTCCATGACATCTGTGATGGATAAACAAAAAGAACACTAAGCAATGGGGGATAGAAAACAAACCAGGGTTTGGTAAAATCAATACCAAACTACTACAGGGACAAACCTGACCTTTGACTAAACCTGTTCCTTTCTCAAAGACTTTTTATGAATAAGTATCCCCTCTGTTCACTGAAACCAACATAAATTGCCCCATCTATGCAGTTATCAAACTCACTTTTGAATCTATAATAACTGTAAAGGCCTGGAAGGCAGGGAGAACTAGGTTATTATAATCAAGAAAGCACTGAGTGTGGATTGGGTACCCAGCCCTGAGCTGGAGACCATGTGCTACAAAGATGTGGACACATTCAACTTGGGCTGTAGAAGTTAAGGTATAAAAGTTTTTCCTTTGGGGGTGGGGGTTGTCATTAAGAGTTTATCAAAATCTCTTTCACGTAATGTCCTCCAAGGACACTACCCTCGACTATGTCATCACTCATAACCATGCTTCACTGGATTAGCAGGGAAACATCTTCAGGAACCAGGACAGAGCAGAGATTGGTGAGACACCAGCATCTCCACTACCACCACAGGCAAATACACAGCTGGCCTCTGGGGTCTGCTGTCCTCTGCCTAGAAGGTCCTTCCCATCCATCAGGATTCTGACTGTGCTTCACAGCTCTGCACAAAATTCACCTGATCTAGATCCTACAGCCAAGCAGTCCATGCCTCTTACTATCTTCTTCTGTGTTTCACATTGCCCTGGGGCCATGGCTCTTTCCTCCCCTGGAGCAAGCTTTGTTGAGATGGGGATTAGGGGATGGAATTGAGGTAGAGAAGGAATCTGTCATGGGGGATGTCTTTGAATCATTTCAGAATAATCTACTAGTGAGAAGGAAGGAGTCAGGGAGAAGAAACAATATTTAGAAAAAAAAGACTGGCCAAAAGTGGTTAAAAACTGAAGCTGGGTGAAGGGCATTTGGGAATCAGGGAATGAAAGGATGTTATTCTCTTACTTTTGAAAAATATATATATATATATCTTGCAAATATTAATTAGGTTTATTTAGGTCATATAGTAATTCAGGATTGACTTAAATATTATTTTAGAATCTCCTAAGGAGTGAAATATCTCTCCCCCTCTATTCAGACTCCACCCAGTCCCTCACTTCTTAAAAGGACTCAAATAACTTCCCCAAAAGAAAAGAGAGTATCCCAGAGAGTGGATGTCCCTTACCACAGCAAACCATCTCCTTGTCCTATCTCTAGCCCTCAGTCTTGCCTTGGTCCCTTGTCCCTGCTTTGGCCCTGGGCTCAGGTTGGGGAGCCCTAACTCACAGACAGAGGTTCCCGTTCCCGTCACCTCATAATAAGCCAAGAAGCCAGCTTGCTTGGTGTACTTCCCTGGAGATGCTGGTCCCACTGCTTCTGCCCTCAGCTCATTCTGAGAGGCTCTGAGGAGGTGAAAAGTACGTCCATAGGTGGGGAGCCCCATGAGGAGCTTCTCAGGGGGGGCCCCAAGCTGTCGCCAGTAATTCATGGCATATGCCTGCAGGGAGGAAGAACACAACCCCTCCTTGTTACCAAGAGCCACTGGCCTGGCTCGGGGATACGTGCCTGGGCTGCCTGACAGCTTTCCTTTTCTTACCGAAGATTTGGGGTCTCCAGGCAGAGAGAACAGAGGGCTATTGTGTCCTGTGACCTTTTCCCAGCTTCCATGTAAGTCGTAAGACAAGACGCTGATGAAATCCAAGAGTCTATAAGGGGCAGGAAGAGGAAGTGTGAAGATCATGCTAGCTAAACTTTCACAGCACCAACTAGCTAACTAGCTGAACATCGGCCACCCAACACCCCTGCCGTCTCTACCCATGGGGACTGCCCAAGCTGTGCTCTGCATGTGAGAGGCTGCCCTAGAATACACAGCCAGTGAGGGACAGCGGTGTGCCAGGACCTATGCCCTCCTGAGAGTATCCAAGGGGTCAGACCAGGAAACAAAGTGGATGGGATCAGACCAGGAAACAAAGGCATTCTGGCTGATACAAGTACAGCAGAGGTCTGCATAAATAACATGTATAATTAGACAGCATAAAAGTGCATCCATCTTTCTACCATTCCAGGAGCCACTGAAACCCACCTCTTCCAAACAGCCTTCCAGATGGTGAAGTGCAATTGAGCCTTATCAGGTCACAGTGTAGAGGTTAACATGGATCATCTAATTTAATTTTAATCTAGCCAATGCCCTAAGTACCACAATTGTCTCTATTTTAAAATGAAGAAATTGAGGAACTTCCCTGGTGGTCAAGTGGTTAAGAATCTGCCTGCCAATGCAGGAGACATGGATTCAGTCCCTGGTCTGGGAAGATTCCATGTGCCACAAGCCCATGCACCACAACTACTGAAGCCCAAGCACCTGGAGCCAGTGTTTTGCAACAAGAGATACCCACTACAATGAAAAGCCTGTGTGCTGAAATTAAAGTGTAGCCCCAATCACCAAAACTAGAGAAAAGCCTGTGCACTGCAACAAAGCCCCAGCGCAACCATAAACAAACTTGTAAAATAAAGAAGTTAACTCAGACAGTTACCTAATTTGTCTAAGGTGACCCAGCTTGGTGAAGATGAACTCCCTCCATCCTGCCTGGCTCTAAGGCCAACACTAGGCAACTCACTCCACTGGGGTCCACCTTTCCTGCCTAGCCACTCTCCATGGAAACCACTCTCCCTAGGTATAATCACACTCAGAAACACCCCCATTCATCTCTTGTGTTCTGCATCTAACTCAGCTTTCACATCTGTAAATACCTGATTCTTGAGCTTTGAGAAAATTAGTATAGAACTGGCATTTCCAGAAAGTTACATGCTTTCTTCACCTTCCCAGGTGGCATCAGTGGTAAAGACACTGCCTGCCAATGCAGGAGACATAAAAGACATGGATTCGATCCCTGGGTCAGGAAGATCCCCTGGAGGAGGGTATGGCAACCCACTCCGGTATTATTGTCTGGAGAATCCTATGGACAGAGGAGCCTGGCAGGCTTTATAGTCCATAGGGTTGCAAAGAGATGGACATGACTGAAGCGACTTAGCACGCATGAGCTTTCTTTGACTAACTTTGTGATTTTGGCATGAAGATCTCTGCTCTGAAAACAGGCTCTGACTTGGCATTCCTGTTTTTGTTTCAGAGGCAGTAGCTGGTAATTCACAAATGTCTCTAATACCAGCCCTCTGGCACTTGGTGTACATGCACAGGGGACTCCAGGAAAACAGAGGCCAGGCCCTTGGATTCACTCCTTGAGGCCCAACTATGGGTAATGCAGATCTCTACCCAAGAGGATGCTGTGGTGTAGCCTGGTGTTCCACCACTTCCCTCTGATCTCCTCAGGAAAGCCTGGGCTATAAGAAATAATCATCGTCCCCACCTATGGTCCTGCTAGGCCCACCTCCCACAGGTGTTCTCACAGCAAGGCAGGAAATCGAAGCTCCAGGACAGTGCTGGGCACCTCTGGGTTCTGAGCCCAAGATGCCTTCTTCCCTCCAATGCACCGCCACCCCCCAACACCAAAGGAGGACCCACTCACCTGCCCAGACGGCGTGCATCATACGCTTTCTGGATGACATGGGGGTCCCCAGAGACGGCAGCAGACAGCAGCAGCCTTGGGCGCATGGTGAGCCGTGCCTCATTCTTGAAGGCCTGCAGGAGCTCCTGGGAAGAGAGAGGCAGGTGAGAGAAATGGACAAAGCAGAGTCGAGTCGGGGAAAGCAGAAGTCATCCAGGAAACAATCTTCTGTAATAAGAGTCCCTGGAGCCAGGAGAGTCAGACACAGGCCCTGCCCACAGGTTCCTGAGAAAGGGAACATGAACCAGTGTGCTAAGGCATTGAGCAGAGGGCTGGCTGCAGGCCCAGGAGCAGAGTTCAGACAGCCTGCCTGAGAGAGGCCAGGAGATGCATGGAGAAAGTGTCACTCAGGCTGGAGGGCTGGGGCCGGGACAGAGGGAAAGGCCTCCACAGGGCCCCAGCTCAGCAGCCCTCTGTCCACACCACTCTTCTGTCCAACCCTGGTCTTAGACCCCTCCTGTGCCCGGGGCCCAGACATGATCAAAATAGAATTACTTCTGGATTCGGGATCTGCCAAGCCAACCTTACCTTAAGTAAGAAGACAAAGGTCCAGCGGTCACGTGAGGGGCTGCCTCTGAGTCCAGGGTACAAGAAGAAGAGGTCCAGACCATCGAAGCCATGTGTCCTCAGGAGGGCGATCACTGAATTGACAAACCTTTCCCGGTTGGTGAATGTGGACAGCATCATGGTGAACCTACAGGAGGGCCAGGGGTGAGGCCAGGAGTGCTTTCTGCATAACTGTGCTCCCCCCAACCACTCTCCTGCAAGGCTCTTTGGTTCATGTGACTGAGGAAAGGAAGGCAGAGCTTTGAAACTCTCAAACCCTCTTAAAGCTCCACCAAGTCCTGGACTTCAGACTCCAGGGAGGATTTGCAAACCACACCTGCCCCTGCCAGATGGAAACAACACAGCCCGGGGTGGAGACAGTGGTTCAGAACAGCTCTGCCTTTGAAAACCTGGTTACTCCTGGCCAAGCACTGACCCTCTGCCTAAATAGATAAGGGGAGGGAAAATAAGCCAAGGGCAAGAAGTTCCAGAAAGATCTCTGAACTAATGGGCCCATGAGGTGGCAAAGAGGGCCAGGCTCTGACCAGGGGTTCAAGAGTCTCTGCTCTTCTGTTTATTGGCTGTTTGATTGTTTTCTATTTTTTGTAGTATTTTCTCTTCCATAACGAAGACACTATTGGAAAATCTTTAGTATAGTAAAGCAGAACTTGAAGTAATTTGGAGTTAGTCCTGCATGCGATGATTAACCAAATTCAGACTTAGGCAGGCCTGGTTCCATTACCTGATCATCACCCTAGCTGGTCATCTCACAGGGACACCTGGGTGAAATATGGTAAGTTCCCTAAGCTCTCACTCGTGCTTTTCTTCCTACAAATTTGGAATGCAAACAGCCTCTTCAATCCTTTCCCCTATCAATCATGAGATAATGAGTGTAAAGCTGGCCTGCTCCCCACCGCATCACCATACCCCCACCCCAGAGAGAAGACCTGACGGCAGAGACTCACCTCGCGGTGCCGAAGTTCCACCCCCCGATGGACAGCAGTGTTTTCAGCCCCCTGTTCCTGTGATGAGGGACAGAGTCGGTGAGCTGGGTTCTCATCAGTCATTTGGGGAACAGTGGGAAGTAGTGGGGATGGGAGGAGGGGGAGGGAAAGGGGGCAGCAGGTGGACTAACCTAAGGGAGAAAGGAGCGGAGCCCAAGATGGGGAAGAAGGAAAAGAGACAACAACCAACCCCCATAAAGGTCATCACACCCAGGACCCCAGGTTGTCCAAGCCCCCCAAACTCCAAAACCTCGTGACATTCCCACAAAAAGAAAAAGAAAAAGCAGCCTAAATTTTCTCTTCACTCACTTTCTTGGTCAACAAATGTTTATTGAACAGTTAATATGTGCCTCTGACTGCTCTGGACTTCTCTGGTAGCTCAAACGGTGGAGTCTGCCTGCAGTCGGGGAGACTCAGGTTCGATCCCCTGATTGGGAAGATCCCCTGATGAAGGAAATGGCAACCCACTCCAGTATTCTTGCTGGGAAAATCTCATGGACAGAGGAACCTGACAAGCCTCAGTCCATGGGGTCACAAAGAGTCAGACACAACTGAGCGACTTCACTTTCACTTTTCACTTTCTGACTGCTTTAGGTGCTTGACACAGCAGTGAACAGACAGACAGGCTCCCTGCTCTCCTCTCTGGAGGCTGTGCTCCAGTGACATGGATTTTCTCTGCCCTTCTACAACCAAGCGTGCAGCGACAGACTCCCCCGGGGAGGACGTCCCAGGAGGGCTGGGGAGAGAACACTGAACACCAGCTCTCTGCTGGGCACTGACCCAGCCACTGGTGTACAAAGATCATAGACACCAGCCCTTCCCTTGGGGCTCACTTGCAGGTGACAAATGGTAATGAAACACTAGCATTTGTGAAGCTTGTGTGACATGCAGCTCTCTCCAAAGCACTTGAAACTAGAATCCTGAGCACTGGGCTTGAAGGGTGAGTTGGGGGTGCAAGGCAGAGAAGAGAGAGGAGCATGATCTAGGCAGGGGCACAGCAGCCACAAGGGCAGGGAGGCAAGGATGCGCTCAGAGTGCTGATCAACGGGGAGCTCCCAGAGCAGGGACACTACAGAGAGCCCTTGACAGGAGGAGGGACACAGGACCAGAGGAAAGGTGACGGCTAACAGAAGAAAAGGCTTTCCTCCCCTTTAGCTGTAAAATCCAACCCCCACAGACGCAGTGAACACACCTCTGCTTGAGCTTGCTGAACTCTGGGTAGAGGACTTTCTCATCCTGGGGATCCTTAGGAACAATCTGATTGTTTTTCATCGAGGCAAAGGCAAATACCAGGTGGGTGCAGAGAAAGGGGTCCAGATCCCGGGGCAGGATCGAGGCAGGGCCGGGCCGACTGAATGCCCAGTTGGTGAAATAACACACCAGCTTGTGGGCAGCACCTGGCAGGGGACAGCAGGCATTATTGGTAGGAACCAAGTGGAGATGGAGCTCAGCATCCACAGCAGTGTGGACACTTCTCTAGAGGCCGGTCCACTGTAACCCCCACCAAACACATCCTCCCCAAAGCTACACTGAGGGGAGGTCCCTCCCTCACTGTCGGGGCCCCCCGGGGAAAGAACGCCTCATGAAAGCCTGGTCAGAATGGATCCGAGAGTCTGGATCCCAGCACAGAGAAGACCCAGCAGTGACCGAGAATTTCCTGCTGGGCCGCACTGGGTCAATGATCCCCGATGCAGAGCCAGGGCGGGCACAGCGGACACTGGACTTGAAGCAGTTCTCAGTGGACACTCTCCCCGGCTTTGGAGAGGACCACAGTTTCCTCACCATCATGGTGTTTCAGCACAAGGAGCAGCCCTGCAGGAGACAAAGGAAGAAACACACGCAGATTCACGGGTACACCCAGAGTGACACACCCCAGCTCACCCTCCAGCTCCCACAAATGCAGACACACACACCCTTCCCTCCTTCCTCTTCTCTATCTAAGCTTCCTCTTCAGATCTATCTAAGCTTCTTTCCACTCCAATATACTCTACGTGTAGACACACACGTCTACACGTAGACGTGCATAGGGACAACGATGACACTGAAAGTCCCAGCAAGGTTCAGACCAGTGATTCTCAACCCTGAAAGTCTTAGTCACTCAGTCGTGTCTGAATCTCTGTGACCCCATGGACTGTAGCCCACCAGGCTCCTCTGCCCATGGAATTCTTCAGGTAAGAATACTGGAGTGGGTATCCATTCCCTTCTCCAGGGGATCTTTCTCATTCAGGGATTGACTCTGAGTTTCCTGCATTATAGGCAGATTTTTTACTGTCTTGGCCATCAGGGAAGTTTCAACCCTGGATGCTAATTTAAAAGTAGTGATATCCTGGTTCCTCCCTCAGAGATTCTGTTTAATTGGTCAAAGGTGAGAAAGGTTAAGAACCACTTCTCTGATCACTTCTCCTTTTACTGTGTCCTGTCCACCTCTACCTAATCTGTGCCCCGCAAGTCCCAGGATGTTCCTTGGGTAAGTAACAGTGAGACAACAAGCTTATAAAGACTGGCACCTCCTGAACTAAGAGACATTGAGGGGCTGGGACCCACCACACTCACCAACCCACAGCAGCAGCTTCCCCATCTCTGTGATCTGACAGCTGCAGGCCTGGGGCTGGAGCTCCTTTATATGAGATTCCCCAGGTACAACTTTGGGACAGCGCTGAGACAGCCCCACCACACACACACAAAACCAGTGATTAATAGGCAGCTGCCCAGAGTCACAGTGACCCCAGCATCTCCTCTTGTCCCGCCCAGCAGAGCCATAGCTTTCAGATCCAACAAAGGAACAACGCCCTCTGACACTGGCATAGGCGGGTGTCCACCACCAGCCCTGGTGAGGGCAGGGCAGTGCTTGGCCCCTCTTCCTGTAATTCAGCCCCACATGGACTGAGTCAGAGGAAGAAACACTGAAGGGCTGCAGGAATCCTACTGTTATGAGATTAGTCATTTGGAGGGTTGCGTAGTGTAATGTTAAAAAGTCTCAGCCATGGACTCTGCCAGGCCAAAGTTTGAATCCCACTGTCAAAAAGCATAAGTTTCAGCATCTTGGGCAATCAGTCAGCTCTTTGAGCTTTAGCTTCCACACTTGTAAAATGGAGGTAACACTTGAACTCACCTAATAGGGTTTTATATGATTTAGAGAGATAAAAACTGTATGAAAAACTGTGAGCCCAGTGCTTTGCATATATGAGGACTCAGTGAATGGTAGCAGTTATTAGAGATGGCATAAGAGTTTGCCCCCAGAGCAGGGTTCTCAAACTCAAATGCTGACAGGCAGGTAATGTAAATCAGTGAAGAGGACACAATAGTTCACTCTCCAGTGGATTTGAAGAAAAATAGTCCAAGTCTAGTAATACACTTCAGCTAACACGAAGCCGCTCCATGGGGAGACATCAGAGATTAGCATGAACAGCCACTAACTTTTGCCTTGCAGTGAAACAGAACCAATGTTTTGGAGGATTCTTCAATTTCTTGAGAGAAGACAAAAATCTGAATTCTTGTATGACTCAACAATGTCTGAGCCAGTATACGAGCTGATAATGACACTGTCATGAGAGGGGTCACAAACCTAAGAAGTAAATTGAATGCAATTCTGGACACCTAAGAGCCAATCTTTTTAAAGTATAGCAAAAATATTAAGGATAAATAAAATAGATATATAAGCCAATGATTCCATGATCTACCAGTTTACTTTTCTGCTAAAAAGGTTCTAACCATGAGTAGGTCCCATATTTCAGTGTCTGAACTCAATCACAAGGACCAAAAATTGGATGTTCTCTGGGTATCCACTATGCTTATCCTCCCAGAGACTCAGACTACTGCTCACCTAATCCACATGCCACTGATGGATTAACTAGATGTCAATATAATAAACGACACTGCAAAGTAACAATGGCTAGTGGTTGAATTCACCTCCTTTCCAGTACAAAGGCCAGGAAAGTTTAATTTGTATCAGCAGGTTGCTTGGTTGTTGTTCAATTGCCCAGCCAGGTCTGACTCTTTGCGATCCCATGGACTGCAGCATGCCAGTCCTCCCTGTCCCTCACCATCTCCTGAAGCTTGCCCAAGTTCATGCTCACATCCAAGGGACTCTCAGGAATCTTCTCCAGCACCACAGTGCAAAGGCCTCAGTTTTTTGGTGCTCCAGCTCTTCATGGTCCAGCTCTCAAAATGGTATGTGACCACTGGGAAGATCACTGCCTTGACTATATGGACCTTTGTTGGCAGAGTAATGTCTCTGCTTTTCAAAACACTGTCTAGATTTGTCATAGCTTTCCTTTCCTGCCAAGAAGCAAACGTCTTCTGATTTCATAGCTGCAGTCACCTTCTGCAGGGATTTTAGAGCCAAAGAAGAGGTAATCTGTCACTCAGGTCACTTTAGTTGCTCAGTCATGTCCAACTCCTTGCAACTCCATGGACTGCAGCACACCAGGCTTCCCTGTCCTTCACCAATTCATGGAGCTTGCTCAAACTCATGTCCATCAAGTTGGTGATGCCATCCAACCATCTCAGCCTCTGTCATCCCCTTCTCCTGCCTTCAATCTTTTCCAGCATCAGGGTCTTTTCTAATGAGTCAGTTGTTCTCATCAGGTGGCCAAAGTATTGAAGCTGAAGCTTCAGCATCAGGCCTTCCAATGAATATTCAGGACTGATTTCCTTTAGGATTGACTAGTTTGATGTGTCACTGCTTCCAGCTCTCCCCCACCCCATTTGCCATGAGGTAATGGGGCAAGAAATACATCTATTTCTGCTTTATTGACTATGCCAAAGCCTTTGACTGTGTGGATCACAATATAAACTGTGGGAAATACTGAAAGTGATGGGAATACCAGATCACCTGACCTGCCTCTTCATAAATCTGTATGCAGGTCAGGAAGCAACAGTTAGATCTGGACATGGAACAACAGACTGGTTGTTGTTAGGAAAAGGAGTACGTCAAGGCTGTATATTGTCACCCTGCTTATTTAATTTATATGCAGAGTACATCATATGTACTGGGCTGGAGGAAGCACAAGCTGGAATCAAGATTGCTGGGAGAAATATCAATAACCTCAGGTATGCAGATGACACCACCCTTATGGCAGAAAGTGAAGAAGAACTAAAGAGCCTCTTGATGAAAGTGAAAGAGGAGAGTGAAAAAGTTGGCTTAAAATTCAACATTCAGAAATCTAAGATCATGGCATCCAGTCCCATCACTTCATGGCAAATAGATGGGGAAACAGTGGAAACAATGGCTGACTTTATTTTTCGGGGCTCCAAAATCACTGCAGATGGTGACTGCAGTCATGAAATTAAAAGATGCTTACTCCTTGGAACAAAAGTTATGACCAACCTAGACAGCATATGAAAAAGCAAAGACATTACTTTTCTAACAAAGGTCCATCTAGCCAATGCTATGGTTTTTTCAGTAGTCATGTATGAATGTGAGAGTCGGACTATAAAGAAAGTTGAGCACCAAAGAATTGATACTTTTGAAATGTGCTGTTGGAGAAGACTCTTCAGAGTTCTTTGGACTGCAAGGAAATCCAACCAATTCATCCTAAAGGAGATCAGTTCTGGGTATTCATTGGAAGGACTGATGTTGAATCTGAAACTCCAATATTTTGGCCACCTGATGCGAAGAGCTGACTCATTTGAAAAGACCCTGATGCTGGGAAAGATTGAAGGCAGGAGGAGAAGGGGAAGACAGAGGATGAGATGGTTAGATGGGATCACCGACTCAATGGACATGAGTTTGGGTAAACTCCGGGAGTTGGTGATGGACAGGGAGGCCTGGCGTGCTGTGGTCCTTGGGGTCACAAAGAGTCAGACACGACTGAGCACCTGAACTGAACTGAATGGGGCCAGACATTATGATCTTAGTTTTTGTTAATATTTAGTTTTAAGCCGGCTCTTTCACTCTCCTCCTTCACTCTTATCAAGAGGCTCTTTAGTTCCTCTTTGCTTTCTGCCATTAGAGTGGCATTTTCCACACATTTGAAGTTGTTGATGTTTCTCCCACCTATCTTGATTCCAGCTTGTAACCCATCCAGCTTGGCATTTCTCATGATGTGCTCACTGTATAGATTAAACAAACATGGTGACAGCAGACAGCCCTGTTGTACTCCTTTCTCAATCCTGAACCAATGAGTTTTTACATACAGGGTTCTGACCATTGCTTCTTGACCTGCATACAGGTTTCTCAGGAGGCAGGTAAGATGGTCTGGTATTCCCATCTCTTTAAGAGCTTTCTGCAGTTTATTATGATCCACACAAAGACTTTGGCTTTGAAACAGAGATAGATGTTTTTCTGGAATTCCCTAGCTTTCTCTGTGATCCAACAGATGCTGGCAATTTGATCTCTGGTTCCTCTTTCCTTTTCTAAACACAGTTTGGACATCTAGAAGTTCTTGGTTCACCTAAGGCTAAAGCCTAGCATGAAGGATTTTAATCATGACCTTACTAGCATGGGAAATGAGTACATCTGTCCGATGGTTAGCACATTCTTTAGTACTACCTTCCCTGGGACCTGGGGACCTTTTTCAATCCTGTGGCCACAGCTGGGTCTTCCAGATTTGCTGACATATTGAATGCAACACCTTGATGGCACCATCCTTTAGGGTTGTGAATAGTTCTACTGGAACTCCGTCACATCCACTAGCTTTATTAACAGCAGCGCTTCCTAAAGCCCACTTGACTTCATTCTCCCAAATGTCTGACTCTGGGTGGCTGACCACACCATTGTAGCAATCTGGTTCATTTGGATCTTTTTTGTACAGTTCTTTTGTGTATTTGTCCCACCTCTTCTTGATCTCTTCAGTGTCCTAGGTCTCTACCATATGTCCTTTGTTGTGCTCATCTTTGGGCAAACTGTTCCCTGGATATCTCCAATTTTCCTGAAGAGATCTCTAGTCTTTCCCTTTCCATTGTTTTCTTCTAGTTTTATAAACTGTTCATCGAAGAAGGCCTTCTTGTCGCTCTGTGCTGTTCTTTGGAAATTTGTGCTTCGCTGAATATACTTTTCCCTCTCTCCCTCACTTTTTGCTTCTCTTCTTTTTTAGCTATTTGTAAGGCCTCCTCAGATAACCACTTTTCCTTCTTGCTTTGCTTTTCCTTTGTGATGGTTTTGTTTGCCACCTCCTATACAATATTATGGACCTCCACCCATAGTTCAGGGACTCTGTCTACCAGATATAATCCACTGAATCTATTTATTACCTCCACTGCATACTAATAGGGGATTTGATTTAAGTTGTACCTGGCTGGCCTAGCGGTTTTCCCTGCTTTCATTAGTTTAAGCCTGAATTTTGCAATGAGAAGCTGATGATCTGAGCTACAGTCAGCTCCCGGGTCTTGTTTTTGACTATAAACAGCTTATCCACCTTCGGTTAAAAAAAATGTAATCAACTTGACTTTGGTATTGATCGTTTGGTGATGTCCATGTGTAAAGGTTGGTATCATGGAATAAAAACAGTAAGTGGTATAGAATGTTTAGGGTGAGGATATTTCACTGAAACTTGGGAAAGCCTGAGGGAATACTCCACGCAACAGAAGCTGTGTCTCCATTTTTTCATCCCTCTTTGCCTGCCTTTACATATTCAA